CGGCTGCGGCGGCTGCATTTCCGATGGAGTCGGAAATGTTGTAGGCCCGTGTGCTCAGATTTAGGTGCACGTTAAAGAACCCCAGGTGGTCGAAATTTCCGGAGCCCTCCACTACGGCGTCTCTCATAATCATATCATGGTTTTACGACGTAAAACCCTAGATCATATTATTACTCTTAATGAAGAGCATGCAGTTATCCTGCCTATACACGTACGCTGCATTCCCGGCGCATGTCTATTTCTCCTTGATTCCGACGGTGTCCACGTTTGTTCTATTACCCACTGTATACTCTCTTTATAAGCCCCTATTTCGCCACTGCTGCTACGAGACCGCCTTGAGCGGAATCAAACCGGGGACTTCTGGGTCATGTAGCGAAGCACGATGCGAGAGTTGGGACGGCGCTCTTTCGCGCAGCGCGATATTTCACTACATATAGGTGTATTTTCTGAATAAAGAAAAAAATCACAGCATATCCACGGAGTGAATGGCGATGAGTGGGGCAAAGCATCCATCAGCCATTCGTTCTTGCTTTCGTCCGTCCGCGCGACCATCCGTGCGTCCGTCCGTCTGTCCATGCGTCCGTCCGTGAGTCCGTCATCCACCTGTATGTCGTTCGAGCGTCCATCCATCCGTGCGTCCGCGCTTCTATCCATCCGTCCGTCCACCCTCTGCTAGCCGGTGTCCGTCCGTCCGTGCGTTCATCTAGTGAACCACTTCGTACCGCCATCTCCCATCTCGCATTCCCTGTGGCGCATACCCGCTCTAGAGTGGGTATGTTCCAGGTTCCGGGCTACGTACTACTACATACATACAAGGGATGGGCAGACCACGCCTTAAGGAGCTTCGCCCCTAAAATCGGATGTTTTTCTTCGCGCGCTGCGCAAATCGAGAGGTAATCGAGAGTTAAACAACGACGCCTTATGCCCAAACAAGTTCGCCACAAACGATCGTCATAACGTGCTTACCCCGGCTACAGAAATTGCGAGGAATAGGCATAGGATGACGCGTCGCGCCTCTCGCGTATTGAGCGTTGAGTGAGCCGACGTTGATTTCGAATATGTTGAACGACGTATAGACGTTGTTGCGGTGTGTGTGTGCGCACGCCTCGAACTTCCCCGCCACTGCATTAAGCACCCGCCGCGTTGCTTTGACTATACTTTATAGCCCCTTCACTTATAACAAAATTCCGGTTACAAAGTATTCTCACAGCCAGAGTCTACTATTGACAAAAGACGCGATATTTCGCTTCCGAAGTTGCGTCATCGATAAGTCTGTACAGATTCTATCACGAAGACATGTCACCGACACAAAGCACGGTTGTAGGTGACTACGAAACTCTCAAGGCATTGCAGAAAAATCTGCATGCAAGCAGAGACATTAGAGAGAAGCCACGACACCCAAACGAGGCATGATTAATACAGCTGATATTTCTAAGCATTAAAAAAAGCGCCTTTCGGGCTCAGGCACCACAAATAGGCAGTCAAATAACGTTTGGGTCACAGACACCATAAATGTAGGCCACTAAATTTTACATAATAGGAAAAAATTACAACGAAGGCTAGCGCGATCAATCTGCGACGGGAAATGTTTTCACGGTCAAAAGGCGCCAACGTTTGAACAGCAGTGCCAAAAAAAGGTATTTGTAGGCACTATCACAGCCCTCCTCCATTAAGCTTCTAATTCGCGCTCATATACCAGACTGACGTGAGAGGAGCACAAGAGACAAAGTAAACGCTCGCCTAAAATCCCATCGTGTTTGGATAGCAGGTCTAAAGGTTCGGCCCACTTGAAAGCCACCAAGCAACAATGGGCACGTGATAACACGGCGCACTAATGGAGTTTCACGAGGCTTATCGTGCCACATCTCGTTTTTTTTTTATTTTGCGTTTTTAAGCGATATGTATTAGCGATTCAAACGTTGTTGAAGCAGCAGCAGCAGCAGCAGCAGCAGCAGCAGCAGCAGCAGCAGTAGTAGTAGTAGTATAGTAGTAGTAGTAGTAGTAGTAGTAGTAGTAGTATAGTAGTAGTAGTAGTCATGGCTGCAATGGTAGTAGTTTCTACGTTTGCATTTGATCATCTCGTATTCAGTGTCTCATGTGTAGTAGTAGTAGTAGTAGTAGTGTAGTAGTAGTAGTAGTAGTATAGTAGTAGTAGTAGTATAGTAGTAGTAGTAGTAGTAGTAGTGGAAGCAGAGACCTCTGCAGCTTAGTGGTACTGGCAGCCACGGCTGCAATGGTAGTAGTTTTTTACGTTCGCATTGTATCATCTCGTACAGAGTGTCTCATGTCAATTCATTCGACGAGAATATTTGATCTCATATTTAATGTGATGCTTAAAATGTTGTTCGTTTCATTAATTGATGTAATCAATCATTCACGGGAGCTTCAAATTCATCCTACCTGCAGGACCTCATTCTGCATGCAGATCTTTTTCGTAACTGCCATAAATGGTCTCTTTCCATGGAATATATATTCTGTGCTCAGCCGCGCCACTTTCCTCATATGACCAGCCCGACGGGCTTGACCAGCGCCTCCTAGAATTTAAGTTCTAGGTGGCTTTGGCTTGACTGGAGGCGCACGCGTCGCGTCTCCCCTCAAGGGGCAGCGATTGGACAGTGTCTCATAACTCCCCCTCTCCCTTTAAAAACGATAGTCTTTCTTGGGGACCTTCGACGCAAACACTTTTCACTTTGGTCTATCTGTACACATACGTATCTGTCTGTTTGTCCGCCCTTAACGGTACCCTAAACGGCACCAAAGTGGCCACACCATACTCCAGATGTCCGACCCCATCCGCAGCGCCCACCAATATTGCTCAAGGTTCAGCGTTCATACTTGTGCGATTGTCAATTAAAAAACAAATGTTGCGCATATCTGAGGCACCATAACAACAAGTCAATATTCTGTATGTGTGTCCCTTACTAGAAAAGGCATACATAAGTAATTCTAAGTACCGTAGCGTTTATCCCGTTGCGCTGACCATGCAACGCTTGCACGAAAAGGCATGTTTTTCCAACGCTTTGCTAAGACGACACGGTGGTGGCACCTACCCGTTGCCTAGCGTTCTACACCTTATCAACTCCGAGACGGGCGTGCATGGCGCGCGCGCGTCGTTTTACAAGATAACTACCAGATAGCGCTCATGCCTCACGTGTCATGTGACTTAATGCGCTCGTTCGCCTCCGCTGCACGCTCGAGGCACCCTAAATCAGCGCATCCAGAATACCATCGACCGATTTTCTTGCGCAGAACATCAAATAAACGTTTTTGTTCACTCTCTCCAGACGCAAGACTATCGTCTTTCGTGTAACATGCAGATATGGGGCCATTTTTTTTCTTAAGTTTATCGATTTTGCATGTGTATAAACGCACGCAAACATTCATTCAAACACGCTCAAACCTGCAAAATCACCGCCCGTCCCCGCCTCTTCTCCCAAAGGAAAAACTTATGGCTACGGCCTGTCGCAAGTTTAAGACACCATTGCGATATTAAATATACCTAATAGTCACCCTCCTATCTTTTTTTTTTTTGGGGGGGGGGGCGTGTTCCCGCAAACCGCGTTATAATGCGTAGTTCAGTTACCATTGCTACATGACGTTAAAGCTTAATGTTGGTCATAAACAATAATAATTGTTGGGGTTTAACGTCCCAAAACCACCATATGATTATGAGAGACACCGTAGATGAGGGCTCCGGAAATTTCGACCACGTGGGGCTCTTTAACCGTGCACTTAAATCTAAGCACACGGACCTCAAGTATCTTCGCCTACATCGAAAAAATGTTGGTCAGAAATCGTATGGAACTGTTTCAGTGAATGCACTGAAACAGCCAGTCACCCAAAGAGAGCCACTAAAACAACGAAAGGGGGAAAAATAAATAAATCGAGAGGCAGAATCAGAGGCAGTGACACATAGGTGGCTATTAACAACTTACATTTAATTTCTAAAAAAAAAAAAAACGTCTTTTCCTATGTTACGGAGCATGTGCGAAAGCACCAGGCTAGATCGCTAATTCGATCTTATTGATGCAGATCACCACTGTTCAAGAATATCACACTCTCAAATTTTCTAGTCTAAAACACGGACAGTGTGCCTACACATTTCTTCACGCATAAGTTTCCAAAGGCGATATGCCTTAATCAACTCGATTTTACACAGCATTGTGTAGTAAGGCGTCTTAGCCTTACCTACAATAAATACATTTCCGAACGTGGGTGTACAGCCGCACTGCTTACAATATAGCCGAAGGCTGTCATCAGTGCAAGAGAGTAAAAGATTTGCATACTCTCGCAAACGAAGATTAACACAGCAACCAGATTTTCTAATGCATTGCTTATCACAACTAAGCGGAGCACTATATACATCACACACGTGTATCACAACACACGCGCAGTAATTCTTGACATGTTCGACGTCGCATGCTTTCCTTTCTATGCGTAGCTGCGAAACCCTCTTGCACCGACTTACAAGTTTGCATGGTGTAGAACAGACCGATCTGATATCATTTCTCGAAGCAACATTTTTCAAACTGTGTGAAATACCGTGTACGCACGGCATAAGCACCAGGTTCTTTTTCTTCTGGTCCCTAACATCACAATCACTGCAGTATTATCAATATACAGAGTAAGATGCGTCAATGCTCACTCTTTTGTTGATGCTGGGCCGGTACTCGAAGTCCACCATGTCACTGGCAAAAGGCTACCGTCAATTATCCCGCGCAAACGTGGTCCTCGCGTTTGTCCTGCCATCTGTTCGACGTCAATGCAATCTTTTGTTAGGATACCCGGCCTTCGAGATTTACACAATCCTTTTCACAGAGACTTGTTTTGTCTCTATCTAAATTGCATGACATTACGTGAGTTATCTCAACAACATAGCCAACATTAATAAAAACATAACATATCAGTCAATTTAAATAAAAACTATTTTCACTTGCGACAGTTTGGTAGCGCGCCCTTGACTCGTCTTTTTGACGCAACCAATGACGTCACCAGGCGAAACTGAATGGGGAAAAACGCCGCATTGTATGCAGACGCTTGCAATGGCTGCGGAAGATTCAAACGAAGCGAGGACACACCATGAAACGGCGCACTGCGAGAAATCGGTGGCACCCGGAACCGACATCTTCAGAGATACACCGGTTCGCTTGCTAGGTACGCCTCCGAAAGCTTTCGTTTTGTCGATGATCGATGTGACGGTGATTGGGAAGACTCAGACGGGCACGCACATACGCGCGTGTGCTCGTCACGTGCGGAAGAATTAACGAGCCTAGCCGTCGATCTCGTGATGTGTCGAGAAGCTGTGGCGAAAAAGGAAGTTCATACGTCGCCAGAGGCCGCATTTTAAGGCAATCACTTTCGGCGATACTATCGCGCTATTCTGATAGACGCGGCACAACCGGAGAGATCCAACTTCTTTCACCACAATAAAGTTGGCACTTAAGAAACTAGGCTATATGTGATTATGCATACGTGGTATTTCCAAAATACGCAGTACGTGCGTCCGCGAGCAGCACTAGAAGCTTCGTTTGAATAATTCACTCGCGTTCGCAATCGGACGCGTGCTATTGCTGTTCTTTTCGGCATAAAAGCCCCGCCAGAGGCCCCGCTTCAACGATGTTCCGTGTAGTTCGACATTTTTTAGCCAAGCGAGTAGTAACATACGTTGCTCACTATTTGTAGATTGAGCTAGCCATGTGCACTCGTGAAAGTTTAACCTGGGTGTACGTGCGGAGACTCTCTGGCCGTAGCCACGGATTTATAAATCCAGTGCTCCGCAGACTCGCGATGTGATGGTTTTCGCGAAAACATGTCCTATGCTTTTCACTCCTAATTATTAGAAAAACTAAAAAGAAACATCAACGGGATTGGTGTTAAATGATTCCTTTAGAGAGACAAGAAAACAATAAAAGGAATAAGTGTTTACAAATATGAATTCCGCAAGTGATCCTGATACTAATATTATGTCAGGCGAATTGAGGCTCTTTTGTACGCTTTGCAATAAGGTCAATTGCTGAGTGGTATTTCACCTATCATGTACGACATGGATACATATATGCTGCAAGACATTTGTAGGTACATGGCCGTGAGACATTCACTTCTCTTTTCAGGATATGCAAATGAAGTAGGAGAAGCATTCCGGTCCCTAGTTCACGTCAACGTCGTCCGCCTGTCCTATGCCGTAGCAAGTGCTTACGTCGTGGTCGACACAGCAGACAAGGTCTTGAAGGCAGACAAGGTACACAAACATCACCACTGTACAGTAGAGTTACTGGCGACCATTAATCACCGCTGTACTGTTGAAGTTATTGGTTATTATTGTACTACACACTGTACTTGTACAGCGAAATAAGGCTGCTGGGGGTTAGCATCTAGGAATACGGAGAATCGACCAGCCATGCAAGAATGCAAAGCATGGTCCGGTCCAAAACGCATCGGGACAGTCTGAGAAGAAGAATTCGTTGATTCAATCAGTACCCATTGTTGAAGGGTCTCTAAAGACCGAAACGCTTTTTCACTTATTAGTAAAGCACAATTTCACGATCCTGAAAACACCACTGTTACCACGACCTGACACATGGTAAGTGAGGAAAGGCGCGAAAATAAACCTCGGGTAGAAAAATCCACTTTGAGATTCTCGCACTAGACACTGCGACATCATAAACTTTGAAGGCAAAAAGCCGTATTTTATTGTGTCTCTTGATGCATGAAAGTTTCTTTATTTAGTGCATCTAGATCAATTACTAGTAATTATTTATAGGCAGTTTGTCTGATGTCATCGGTATCGTTTTGATAATTTGGTACATGTATTCTTGTGAAGTTACCTTAATTTCACGGTAACTAGGGCACTGCTCTTGATAATATTGTCATTTTATACTTTGTCATACACTAAGCTTTCACTCCGATGTAAATTGTTAGTCGACTTTAGTGTCCCTTTAAGTGAGAATGAGTAAGGGGTGATGCACACATAGCACTTCATTACCTTTTATAGTTAGATGATTTTTTTACATGTTTCGGTGAACACAGGTGTGTAGTTGCCGCTTTTGTCATGTGCTTCATGTCTTAAGTTCTGTTTTGCTTCTTCAAAATTTGCTGCACTGCTTCCAGTGTTAAGACAAAGTTTTCTAGATGAGATGACTGTATGGAAATTCAAGCTGTGTGTGAAAGAAACCTAATTGTGGTATTTTGCTTATACTTAAAGTCCAAAATCACGAGAAAATGTACAGTTACATTAATTAAAAATACTTTAAGGTATTTTGTTTCATTGTAAACATGACAATGTTGATGAAGGCGTGACTAATGGTGCTCGGTGAATCCTCATGACGCTTTGGTTGTAGCATGAATGCAGATAATAGGACAAAGAACATTATAAGGACGTGTACTGTCCTCGTCCAATGCATGATTCATTTAGAGCTGCCCTATTTCATTGGGTTGTACTTTTCTTATAAGTTGTCCGGTGTTTATGCGGTTAGTAGCAAAAAATTAAGGAAGAACAAAAATTTTATAGTTCGCTCTGTTTCTTGACGTGCAACACAAAAAAAAGTAAATAAGAAGTGACGAAAACTGCGACATTTTGCGAAATTCTATACAATGAGGGACTGCATACTGTTGCAGTCAGAAAGTGACGTTTTGATTGGGCATTCCGACATCAGGATGAAGTCTAACTGGTTTATTCAAGTAGAAGCACAGAATTTATAGCACTGACACATCACTATAAACAAACAACCACATCATGCACAGAAATTCTTTTTCTTCATAAAGAAGAGCTATTGAAGTGCACGCTATAAATTCTGTGTTTCTTCAGAAATGAACCAGTTGGAAGTCAGCGCTTGTCCATCTGTCGTTTCTTGCGCTGTTCATTTGTCAATCCTTACAATCATAAATATAATCAACTAGCTCAATCCAGCCCCATTACTTGACCAAGTATCTACATGCTACATCTTGAAGAGGTAAACAATTTCATTCTTCGATTGCACCAGAAATGCAGAATATTTTAAATTTTCATTGTTAAAATACATTCGAGAAGGTTGTTTTTGTTTGTCAGGCACGGCTGAATAAATAGAACAAACCAGGGGAAACATAGAAATCATTGTCTGTACTACTAGCACACTAAAAAATGGAAAAACAATCCTATGTTTCTTTCTGAGCCTTTTCGTTTCTGCAACATTAGTCCTGATCTCAGCACCGACAAGAACCTCACTATCTGCGGAAAATATGTATATGTGTGCTGCTTGCACTTTCTACTCGCAGCTACATGTTCTCATTGGACTTGTGCACAATAGCATCACTACAACTCAATTTAAGCCTCAGGGAGGTTTAGGGGGCCCCTTAATGTGGGCCTCTGTACACGTGAGAGCTGCACAATGTGCTCACTCTAACGTAAGCAACACTGTCTTGCAGGTCAAGTGCCCCGATGCTAAAGCCCACCGGAACAAGCTGTTCAACACTGCCGTGGACACACTGGTGTGGCAAGCGTTGGCCTCGGTCATCATACCTGGTTTCACAATCAACAGGGTGTGCGCACTGTCTCTCTTCCTGCTCAAGCGTTACTCGAGCATGCCCCTCAATGCCTGCAAGTGGACTACGACTGGCGTGGGTCTGGGCTGCATCCCTTTCATTGTGTCACCCATAGACCACGGTGTTCATGTGCTCATGGACAAGACGCTCCGTCAGTGGTTGCACGCAAAGGAGTCTTCCGACTGACCTTTTTCTTTTCTAGTGTCAAGCAATACCTTTTTACTAGTTCAAAGATCTCTGCAAGGTGCTCATAAAACATAACATGTATGGACACATTCGAAACCCGCAGTAATGAAATCACGCTCTGACGACATGTCTCAAAGTCCCGAGCGAGCATGTATTCAATGCGTGTCATATTTTCGAACGATGGAACTTCCCTAAGCTGCAACATCACCCAAAAAAAACTGAGGGGATATTCTCCCACACATTTTCTGCTCGCACAAGGTCAATATATTTCAAAATGTGCTCGTATATCTTTGCTTCTCGTTTAAAACTGTAAACAAGCACCGCTGCAATGCGCTTGCCTAGGTGCTGCCATATTTGCTTACCAAATTGGAACACTGCTGAAAGCGGTCTGGTGTGCAAGACATTGCCTTCCCACTATGTTGCTTGTTTAGTGAGTTCTTCCTCCTTTTTTTTTTTTAAGTGTTCATAGCCACATTAGAAAGTAGCAACTCAGCCGTCCAATTAATCGGCACAGCAGCTCGCTGTTTGCTGTTCTCAGGCTGCCGGGTACAAATGGTTTTGCTCGCGCTTGTAAAGTTAAGGTTTGCTCGCGCACATAAAGCATCAGTTATTTGAAAACGGTGCCAACAAATACATGTGACCAGTGCACCTAGTTGTGTTAAGCCACGTTTCTATGCCATCACCAGTGCCAGGTTTTTCGTGAACTATGCCGCTGCCATTCGAGACTTGTGACTCATAGACACTTTGCTTAAAACCTTTCATTGGTTGAGGCATCACCTTCTGTTTGAACGCAGACAAGTTCCTTTGCCAAAGACTTCACTCTCATTCTATGTCACAATAACTCGTTACAGCATGTTGGTCTTCATTGTATAGTTGACCATGTGTAGCAGCGAACGTATGGTAAGAAGCTATTGAAACAAAGTTTAAGCTAGTATACCTGCAATCACCAGTCTTTCCACATGGTGCCATAATGTGCCAATCATGTCAGACAAAGGATAGCGTACTTAAAATAATGATGTGCAGCTCACGTTTTTCTTGATTTTGTCATCCAGTTAGAAGCCAACTAAAAACAAACTTTTTGGCAATGTAAAGAAACTTGTCTGTTGCTTACGTAGACATGGGCACGATTTTGTATCAGCGGAAGCCACAATTGACCGCTTTTTGGTAGCGCACCCTTGGGCAGCGGCCATCTCATATGGCGACCCGGACTAGGGACTGCCACCGAGGTGCACGGGAACTCTCTAGTGCATTTCAGAATAAAATGTTTACTACCGCCACCCCCACCACCTTTTTTTTGTCAAGTTCATAGCAAAACAAGCTTTGAAATGAGTGAAAAAGCATAAATGAAGCAATGACGGGCTTAACAACATTGAGCAATGGTGGGTCAAGTTCAACTGAGTAACTTGGCAGCCCACCTCAGACTTAGCACCTTCCTCAGATGATTAGAAAGACGCCTCTCCTTCCCCCCCCTCGCCCCCTAAACCTTGTGCGCACACCTTTATTCACATATAAAAAGCAGCCTTAGAGCAAGACATTTGTGCCAGGAACAAGAATGATTATGTCATCAAGTTTGACCTTCACGATGTCGAAACTGGAGCTAGTGATGCAAAACTCGGAATGTTACATTTGAAAACCATCGCATGGTCTACTGCGATTCGACATGCCATAAACTACATGTACATAGTCACAAAACGTGTTTTACATGCATTTCACATAGTTTCACATATGCAAATTTTTTCAGCGTGGGCATTCAAAAATGTCTACATGTTTGAATGTCTTTTTGGGTTTTTTCATGTCGAATTTGGTTACTTTCATGCACGCCATGAAGTGCCTGTGAAGACTTGATGTAAAGGTGTTCAACATTAAAATGTAACGATTTCCCAAGCCCCACAGATCTGCCAAAAATACTTCCATTGTACACTGTTGTTCTTTAGCAGGGGAACACGCGAAGGTGTGGCCTGCGCTCTGCGGCGGCTGCCTACAACGCCATCAACCGACAAATTAAGAAAGCACATTCGCTTTTCGCGTCATCTATGACCAAACAAGATAACGAGTTACGGTCGGTAGACAAGTGCTACTAAATCACGTTTCCTGATCGATCGCGCGGCGTGCAATATCGGGCAATTACTGCAGCTTGCGTCATGGTCGCAAACAACGTTATATGTTGGCAGTCGACTACGCACTGCAGGCATGAGTGGAGAGAGTGCAATCTAGCAGTGCTTGTCTACCGGCCATAACTCGTTATTATCTTTTTCGGCAACAGATGACGCTGAAAGCGAACGTGTTTCCTTTTGCTGTCGGTTGATGGTTCTGTAGGCAGCCGCCGCAGGGTGCAGGCCACGCGTTCACGTGTTCCTTTTCATAAAGGACGACTGTGTACATACCGCTCATTTGAAATCAATTCAAGAATTTTTTTAATTGTGTGCAGCTAGCCATGTGATCGTACTGTGGTAAAATTGTGCTGCAGGACACATACTACATTATTTGTTTCATTTTACAAGACATGCTTTCAATATATGCTTTCAATGTGCCAAGCATTTGCTAAAAGTAATAAAATGGCTACCTATAATACCCACGGTTACAAAGTGCCATATTGACGCGTTTCTACAAGAGTACACCTTCAGAAGGCGGCGAGATTATCCGCTGCCTGCGAATGGCAGATGGGCAAAAAAACCTGCGCCAATAAGAATGCTCTTGACAGAGTGTGTCGCAGGTCACACAGTCGGTGACACTACCATCGGAGAACATTGCAAAGTACGTAAGCAGGACTATTCCTCTCACTCGGAGCAGACACTGTTATCGGCCTCTCTGCCAAATTTTACGGTCATGCACTGCAAAAGCAACCGCAGAATGCGAAGTTGTCATTTTCTCAAGTGCCCCCTTTTGATACAGAGGCTTGTGCTCACTCATTTCGGAGCCGATGGCACTTGCGCTTGACATGGATCTGCGGACAGTATGCTATTGACCAATAGACGGATGTTTGGTTCAGATACACTTCCTGCCACGGGTTGCTGCACTCCGTAGTCTGCTAACATTGCAAAGCGATGCACCCTTGCAAGCTTAGCAATCGCAATGAGAAAAAGCAATCATGTGTCATCATGCGTATTTAAGGTCATGACACACGCTGGCTTAGCTTCTTTCGACCATGCCATTCCACATTGCTTGCTCTCGTAGCATGTTTGCCCCTACGAGAGCAAGCACTCGAACGATGCGACAAACCCCAGTAGCTCTGCTCGTGCTCGACAGATTCATGAATTTTTTATGGCGATAAGCACTTACACTGACATCATTTGAGGATCACTCTTCATGTTGTATTACTACAGACTGCAGCATTTCCGGTGCTGTAACAGAATGACCTAGTTCATAGAATACACCAATACATGATACGACTGAATGTGACCCTATACACAGGTGAATCCAGACACATTCCGAGGGCGAGTACAGATGACCTTCCTTTTTGCACAGTTTATACTATCATTATACTTAACATGCAGCAAGTTGCCTATATAAGTTAGATCACCAAGTAATGGGTTGATGTGTTAACTCCACATTGCAGAACTTCAAATATTTTCTTCGTTACTCAATAAGAAATTCTCGCCGACACCTGCATTGGAATCTACAGTGAAATCTAACCCAAAATCTCTCGTATATCATACGTCATGAAAGAACTTGATTAGTCTGACATTTTGACGAAGGTGATGAGTAAAAAAAAACACAGATGCGCAAAACAAAAAGACAGACTTGCATCTGTGTATCTGTTGTTTTATCTGCATGGGGCTATCTCAACTTACCACACTTGACGACACAATAAAAGACTCCACGTATAATTTTAAATGCGCAAAACTGACCCAACGAAGCTTGAGAGAATCAACTAGCTTGTTATTCCTCATTGTGTCTCATAATCATATGGTAGTTTTGGGACGTTAATCCTCAACAATTGTGTTATTCCTCACCGGCACAAACCTTGGTGTTTAAGTTCATTTGACCAAACTTTTCTCAAGTCATTGAGATTCAGAACACGTCGGTCCATGATTTTTCTTTGCAAAACAAAATACCATTTAGAGTGTTGATAACATTGTAAGGAGTGCAACGATTACTTCAGTTAGAGTGCAATAGCATAGGCATTTACCATGGTGCCAAAGAGATCAATGTCCCGAATGAACGAATACAGAATCCCACAAAGTCAATCAATGATTATTATTAAGTTTTATTGGCACATGGGCATCCAAGGCCAAGGAGTGCCAGTACAAGCATTGTTTCATTTCAGGTTATGTCTAAAAATTAAAACAAATGATGTGTAGCAAAAATCTATAAAATATTTAAAACACTGTGTCTAACACTGTGCCACTTTGTTAAAACCTTCATTTTGTTGGCTGAAGTCTGTGACAATAAATGAGTTGCAAGGTCCAAGACCCTCACGGCTTAAGTCCTTGCCTGAGCAAGAACTGCGAAGGCTCAGACACACTTGTGTTTTTTGCACTAGGCGGTACCTCACACTTGAGGCGCAGCCTGGTGGCTAGGATGGAATGATATAAATCTCTTTACCTGGTTTGAGCTACTGTACTTGTGATGTCGACTCCATAATTGGACATGTAGCAGGGTAGTCAATTAGGAAGAACAAGTGGGTGGCCGCTGCTCAGCAGCAACTGCTTCAAGTGCCGGCAAAAGGGCATCTCTCCTTATGGCACAACCTATTGGCAGCCAGAATAACCAGGCACGACTGATGGGCAATAGTCTGTTCCATTACCTCCTTTGTCAGAAGGTCGTTTTGGCCAGTGAAAAACGCCAGAAGTAGATGCCACGGAACAATCGTGCCACGCCAATATTTCCTCCCCCCAAATGAAGGCCCACCTTGTACAGCAGGTTCTTGTTTAAATAGGCAATTGCTAAAACTTGGTACTATACAGCTTCGGACAAAGTTCGGAAGAAAAAGCTACTGGGCTGTTTTATCAGCAAAGTCGGATTTGATAGCTGCAAAACCACACGAGTACCTTTCACACTCGCACCACTGCTATAGTGGCTGAAAAACTTCGTCCAGCGGCCGTGCCAGTAAACAGAAGGGGACATGGGTGGAGGTCCAAGTTAGCTTTTCCTTGAGAATGGTTCACCCAACTATCCTTTTCTGTCGCTGATGCACCATTACAAGTTGATTTATTTAATGTTGTATAAGGGCTAGGTGACGAGAGAGGGCAAATACAGTTGAACCCCTTCACAAGAGGCATGTTTCGGGCAGCAGTTCTTCGTCTTTTACAGGAGATGACTCTTATAAGCTAGGTACTATCTACTCATTTTCTTATCAACCCATATTGTTGGCACACTGGGTTCTCTTATATCACTCATAAAGGGGTTTGTCTGTAAACCAGCGAGGTGCTCAACGATCTATTAAATAGTACCAGGTTGTCAACCTCGTAAACAGTTAACCGCCCTCCAGAATCTTTTCTGCTATAGAAGTTTGCCCAAATGACAAACTTTTTTCTTGCTAGCTAAACTGAACCAACCTGTATCTCATATACAGGGTTTACTTGCATTACTCCGAATTGTGGCCACTGCAGTACATTCCCATTAGAAGCAGCCTGTATACTGCCAGATGCCAGTGAACATTAGCAGGTGGTCGAAATTGACAGATTGCTCCACCATTGCATCTCTGGTAACTATATTACGGTCATCTAAAGTAAAACACCAGGTATTAAATTTGTGTTCATTAGAATACCAATCACTCAACTTGGCATGCGACAAGTTTTATCGACAACCCCTACAGCTGGTAGGACAGAGCAAGTAAATGCTCATCACACCAGCAAATTAATGGATGCCTACTGGTCACAAAAACCCAAGAGATTTCAGGCAATCAAAACTGCTCTTTTATTCCATGGCCCCGAGCAGGAGGGAACAAATGCTTTTCAAAACTCCTCGCCACCATCATCCTCCGCACCATCGGCAGAGTCGATGCCGACCTCCTCGTAATCCTTCTCTAGGGCAGCCAAGTCCTCCCTGGCTTCGGAGAACTCTCCCTCCTCCATGCCTTCGCCGACATACCAGTGGACAAACGCCCGCTTGGCATACATGAGGTCGAACTTGTGGTCGAGACGTGCCCAGGCCTCAGCAATGGCTGTTGTGTTTGAAAGCATGCACACAGCACGCTGGACCTTGGCGAGGTCGCCACCGGGTACAACAGTCGGGGGCTGGTAGTTGATGCCAACCTGCAATACGAATCGGGTGTAATTATTGAACAACCGAGAAAGCAGTAACTATTCTATAACAGCCACTTTTAAGAATTCCATCTGGTTTAATGTTCCTTAAACTCCTCTTGGTCGTTTTCGATTTCCAGGCGCTTTAGAAAGGGATCAAAATAAAATTGTGCACCAAAATCTTAACAAAAGAATGCCTCGGAAAACCTTTGGACAGATTGGTGAAATGAATGATCCTGAAAAGTCCAGGTTTCATCTCTGCCTCCATAAACAAGATTCACTAGAGCCCTTAAAGGGACGCTGAAGTCGAATAACAATTTACGTCTGAGTGAAACCTAAATGTCCGACGTCTAAAACGACAATAGTATTAACAGCAGTGCCCTACTTGCCAAGAAATTAAGGGAACTGCACGAGAACAAATGCGACACAGTAGGACGTTTGCAGAACTATTTTGATAAACTATTACCTCCTAGAATTAAGGGGGGAGGCTACCACAAAAACGCAACTTTCTTGTTTGTTGAAATATCCTAATAAAGGTGTCAGGGTGGTTCAACTAATAAAGCCATTTGAATAACCACTAAATTTCATGCATCTAGGTTCACTGGTTGCCAAGTTACAGTCATATATCGGGATAGTCCACATAGGTTTCTTACTCAGGCTCTGGTGAATTTAATAAATGTGCTAGCACCTTGAAATTCACCAACTATTCCTGGATGGACGCTTGACACTAGAACAGAGCCCCGTCCTTGCACCGAACGCTCGCGTCCTTGCACCGAACGATTGTAGCGTCTTCTTATTCGTTGGGCGCATCGTGAGCGAACACAACAACGGTCTCGTAAAGACTGTTGAAAATCGTTTCGAAGACAGTTGAAACGTGGAGAGTATGCAAACGGCAGCAACGATACACGGAAGCGAGCGGAACACAGAAGCAGGACGGAGGAGCAGCAGACGAGCGGCCGCATCATGCGCAAGAGCGCTACGTCATCGCGCACAGCAGCCAATGGCAGTCGCGGGCTCCCCCGCGTCCTTGGGGAGCGCGCGCTTCGCCCAATACCAGCTGCGCGCCTCAGCCGCGGGAAACTTGAAAGCTCTCGCGAGCCCTCCAATCATGAGCGGCTTGCTCCTCTCCTGCGCTGCCGCCGGCGAAGCAGGTGGCGGGGAAAGAAAGAGCAAGAATTCACAAACAAAAAACAACACCAAAATGGCGGCGCTCCGTCGAGCAGTCGAGAAACTGCGATCACGCCAAGTTGGGGTATTTTGAGCGCTCGCGCGCCGCTCGAGGGCCGCCGCGGCATGTTCTAAACTTTATTTCAAATGGTTTCGCGACGAATTAGACGTTGATATTTACAGAAAAGGTAGTTTATGACACATACTGCCCGAATATGTGGTTTGCCAAAAATCGACTTTTTCGCGATTTTTCGGTTTTCAAAGGCCGCGTCCCCCTTAAACAATATTTACAGAACAGATAGACATGCTACCTGAACACGTGGTGTTAAAAACCAACTGTCACGGTTTTTCTGTTTTCAAAAGGCGCATCACCCCTCAACGCACAGAAGATTCTTATGTGCAGCTAGACCAACTACTAGTGATTAAAAGACAAAATCCTGCTTGTTCACTTATGTGCGATTCATAGAAAAATGAACCGCCGAAAGTGCCATCTAGCGGGGCCCAGTTAAGCCAAGCACGCCTGCAAACTTGAAGGCCATCGCTAAAAATTTTTCAATGGCTGTGGTTGATGCTGTGGCTCCCGCTACTTTCTCTTTACTGCTACAAGTTACGGCGTCAGCGCAGCAAAGCCACGCAACAAAAGCCACGCAACGCAGTAAAGGCACCAAATAGGAACTTCCTTGGCACAAAAGTAAAACTACTAGGTTTCTGGACTGCTATTTCAACAATCGATGATGATGATGATGATCATATTTCGTGTTTTTGGCGCAAGGGCCATTTGATGGCCAAAGAGCGCCAGTTAATGCGACAAGAAATGTGGATAATGATTGCGATTAGCGGCTGTATAAGGGCCATAAAATTCCTCTCAATAAGGCGGGTAAAAACATACAAGTAATAAAATTATGACCATGCCCTGAAAGGTGTGTGGTGTGAATAGGTGACAAAAGTTGGTGATGATGTAAAACGATGGCGGACATGTATGGCATTATTAGCACAAGTACCTCACTCCTTCATACCCTTGCGTCCAAGAGCCGTGAAAGCAAGTGCTTCCTGTGTAGCCACCGCAGCAAAAACCTCCCTGGAGAGGTGCTACGGAATGCCCGGGTACACGATATGAAAATTGAATTTCTTATAAAAATGCTAACAATGAGTTATGACGCTATTTCAACAATAGCCATCGACTTAACAGTTGTTATTAGTGTACCTTTTAAAAGATGAAATTTTAAGCATTAAAAAAGGGGCGGTAAAGCTTCGCTTCTTCCTTATTCGCACTTTGCGCACCAATTCTAAATCATACATCTAAATAACCATGTCCTATACCCAAATACAGTCGCTGACCGAAATTCGGAATTGTTGGCTATTTCGGACTTGAAGTGCACCATCAGTGTTCCCATAGCGCTAATGCATTCTTTCGACCAATTTTTCGGACTAAATCGCTTGTTTTGAGCTGCACCACGAATCTGTATGAACGCCGCCATGTTGGATTTTATGCCGGCTTGACTAAGCTTAGTGGCTTAATTTTAAAATAGCTTTCCTGCCTCCAAGATTGGAAAGCAAACGTCATATTTCAAGTTTCGGAAACCGTGTCTGCTTCAGAAATCGCAGCACAGGACCATTTTCTCGCCTTCAGTCAGCCATAGGGGTCAGCACTGTCATCGCACCGTACAGGGAGGAGGCTGAGATGCACAGTAGTGGAGTGAATGTGCCTGCCACAGCGACATTAGGGAGTTTTAGAATAGCGCACTGCAAGCCCTTGAGGTGCTGTCGCAGCCACTGCACATGCGTCGTAACACATCTACGTAACGTGGCAATATGTTGGTTCTCATTAATATATAGTCCCTTTAGAACTACCTGGTTCTCTCAATTACGCTAGGCACGACGCACAAGGTAGCACCAAACTTACCTTGAATCCAGTGGGGCACCAGTCCACAAACTGGATCGTGCGCTTGGTCTTGATGGCCGCAATAGCAGCATTTACATCCTTAGGCACAACATCCCCTCGGTACAGGAGACAGCAGGCCATGTACTTTCCGTGGCGAGGGTCACACTTTACCATCTGGTTGGCAGGCTCAAAGCAGGAGTTTGTGATCTCAGCGACCGTCAGCTGCTCGTGGTAGGCTTTCTCAGCAGAGATGACTGGAGCATAGGTGACGAGGGGGAAGTGGATGCGAGGGTAGGGCACCAAGTTGGTCTGGAACTCTGTCAGGTCGACGTTCAGGGCACCATCGAACCGCAGAGAGGCGGTGATGGAGGAGACGATCTGGCCGATGAGCCTGTTGAGATTCGTGTAGGTGGGCCTTTCAATGTCAAGGTTGCGCCGGCAGATGTCAAAGATTGCCTCATTGTCGACCATGAAAGCGCAGTCTGAATGTTCCAGGGTGGGTGTGTGGTGAGAATAGAGTTGTAGGGTTCCACGACTGCTGTGGGACCTGCAATGAGAAGACGTACAGTGAAGACTAGAATACACCGCTGCCGGTAGACACACTTAAACCTATTTATAACGAACCTCCATATAACGACTCAACCGATCTCTGCTTGAGCAGCGCACGAGCTTTTTTACTCGCTCGTGAAAGTTGAGACGTGGGGGGGGGGGGGGGCATGCTATCGTTTCGGACTTGTTACGGAATATGGCGGCGACGGCAAAAAAAACACTGAAAATGTCCATATAAAGGCTATCAAATTTTTTTACTGGCGCCAGTACGCCCTACTGGCACCGGTTAAATACAGCAAAATCTCTAGAACGAACCCCACATTAACAAACTTTCTAAAAATCCGACGCAGACTTCTAATAGTTTAGTGTAAAATTATTTC